TTGCAGTACTCGGCACCGCTCAGAGCCGCTCATAACCACTCGGCACCTCTCTGAGTGGCTCATCACTTCTCGTCACCGCTCACGGGCGCTCAGCACCACCAATCATCGCACACAACGACCCATCACCACTCACTGCTGCTCTGAACTGCTCTGCAGCACTCGGCACCGCTCAGAGCAGCTCATCACCACTTGGCACCTCTCAGAGTGGCTCATCACTACTCCTCACCACCCACGGGCGCTCAGCACCAGCAATGACCGCACACAACGGCCCAGCACCGCTCACTGCTGCTCTGAACCGCTCTGCAGCACTCTGCACCACTCACAGCCGCTCATCACCACTCGGCACCGCTCAAAGCCGCTCATCACCACTCCGCACCTCTCTGAGCCGCTCATCACCACTCGTCACAGCTCAGCGCTGCTCACTGCCACTCTGAATATCCGAGAGCCACTCACAGCCACTCGACACCGCTCCCAACCTAATCAGCGCTCATCACCGCGTGTCACCGCTCACGGGCACTCAGCACCACCAATGACCACACACAACAGAACAGCCCAGCACCCACCGCTCACTGCCGCTCTGAACCACTCTGCAGCACTTGGCACCGCTCAGATCCGCTCATCACCACTCGACACCTCTCTCTGTTGCTCATCACCACTAGTCACCGCTCATCACCACTCACGGGCGCTCAGCACCACCAATGACCGCACACAAAGGCCCAACACCTCTCACTGCCGTTCTGAACCGCGCTGCAGAACTCCGCACCGCTCGGAGCCGCTCATCACCACTCGGCACCTCTCTGAGAAGCTCGTCACTGTTCGTCACCGCTCGTCACCACTCACGGGCGCTCAGCACCACCAATGACCGCACACAATGGCCCAGCACCGCTCACTGCCGCTCTGTACCACTCTACAGCACTCGGCACGCCTCAGAGCCGCTCATCACCACTGGACACCTCTCTTAGTCGCTCATCACCCCTCGTCACCGCTCGTCACCACTCACGGGCGCTCAGCACCACCATGACCGCACACAAAGGCCCAATACTTCTCATTGCCGCTCTGAACCTTGTTGCAGTACTCGGCACCGCTCAGAGCCGCTCATAACCACTCGGCACCTCTCTGAGTGGCTCATCACTTCTCGTCACCGCTCACGGGCGCTCAGCACCACCAATCATCGCACACAACGACCCATCACCACTCACTGCTGCTCTGAACTGCTCTGCAGCACTCGGCACCGCTCAGAGCAGCTCATCACCACTTGGCACCTCTCAGAGTGGCTCATCACTACTCCTCACCACCCACGGGCGCTCAGCACCAGCAATGACCGCACACAACGGCCCAGCACCGCTCACTGCTGCTCTGAACCGCTCTGCAGCACTCTGCACCACTCACAGCCGCTCATCACCACTCGGCACCGCTCAAAGCCGCTCATCACCACTCCGCACCTCTCTGAGCCGCTCATCACCACTCGTCACAGCTCAGCGCTGCTCACTGCCACTCTGAATATCCGAGAGCCACTCACAGCCACTCGACACCGCTCCCAACCTAATCAGCGCTCATCACCGCGTGTCACCGCTCACGGGCACTCAGCACCACCAATGACCACACACAACAGAACAGCCCAGCACCCACCGCTCACTGCCGCTCTGAACCACTCTGCAGCACTTGGCACCGCTCAGATCCGCTCATCACCACTCGACACCTCTCTCTGTTGCTCATCACCACTAGTCACCGCTCATCACCACTCACGGGCGCTCAGCACCACCAATGACCGCACACAAAGGCCCAACACCTCTCACTGCCGTTCTGAACCGCGCTGCAGAACTCCGCACCGCTCGGAGCCGCTCATCACCACTCGGCACCTCTCTGAGAAGCTCGTCACTGTTCGTCACCGCTCGTCACCACTCACGGGCGCTCAGCACCACCAATGACCGCACACAATGGCCCAGCACCGCTCACTGCCGCTCTGTACCACTCTACAGCACTCGGCACGCCTCAGAGCCGCTCATCACCACTGGACACCTCTCTTAGTCGCTCATCACCCCTCGTCACCGCTCGTCACCACTCACGGGCGCTCAGCACCACCATGACCGCACACAAAGGCCCAATACTTCTCATTGCCGCTCTGAACCTTGTTGCAGTACTCGGCACCGCTCAGAGCCGCTCATAACCACTCGGCACCTCTCTGAGTGGCTCATCACTTCTCGTCACCGCTCACGGGCGCTCAGCACCACCAATCATCGCACACAACGACCCATCACCACTCACTGCTGCTCTGAACTGCTCTGCAGCACTCGGCACCGCTCAGAGCAGCTCATCACCACTTGGCACCTCTCAGAGTGGCTCATCACTACTCCTCACCACCCACGGGCGCTCAGCACCAGCAATGACCGCACACAACGGCCCAGCACCGCTCACTGCTGCTCTGAACCGCTCTGCAGCACTCTGCACCACTCACAGCCGCTCATCACCACTCGGCACCGCTCAAAGCCGCTCATCACCACTCCGCACCTCTCTGAGCCGCTCATCACCACTCGTCACAGCTCGTCACCACTCACCGGCACTCAGCACCACCAATGACCACACACAACAGCTCAGCGCTGCTCACTGCCACTCTGAATATCCGAGAGCCACTCACAGCCACTCGACACCGCTCCCAACCTAATCAGCGCTCATCACCGCGTGTCACCGCTCACGGGCACTCAGCACCACCAATGACCACACACAACAGAACAGCCCAGCACCCACCGCTCACTGCCGCTCTGAACCACTCTGCAGCACTTGGCACCGCTCAGATCCGCTCATCACCACTCGACACCTCTCTCTGTTGCTCATCACCACTAGTCACCGCTCATCACCACTCACGGGCGCTCAGCACCACCAATGACCGCACACAAAGGCCCAACACCTCTCACTGCCGTTCTGAACCGCGCTGCAGAACTCCGCACCGCTCGGAGCCGCTCATCACCACTCGGCACCTCTCTGAGAAGCTCGTCACTGTTCGTCACCGCTCGTCACCACTCACGGGCGCTCAGCACCACCAATGACCGCACACAATGGCCCAGCACCGCTCACTGCCGCTCTGTACCACTCTACAGCACTCGGCACGCCTCAGAGCCGCTCATCACCACTGGACACCTCTCTTAGTCGCTCATCACCCCTCGTCACCGCTCGTCACCACTCACGGGCGCTCAGCACCACCATGACCGCACACAAAGGCCCAATACTTCTCATTGCCGCTCTGAACCTTGTTGCAGTACTCGGCACCGCTCAGAGCCGCTCATAACCACTCGGCACCTCTCTGAGTGGCTCATCACTTCTCGTCACCGCTCACGGGCGCTCAGCACCACCAATCATCGCACACAACGACCCATCACCACTCACTGCTGCTCTGAACTGCTCTGCAGCACTCGGCACCGCTCAGAGCAGCTCATCACCACTTGGCACCTCTCAGAGTGGCTCATCACTACTCCTCACCACCCACGGGCGCTCAGCACCAGCAATGACCGCACACAACGGCCCAGCACCGCTCACTGCTGCTCTGAACCGCTCTGCAGCACTCTGCACCACTCACAGCCGCTCATCACCACTCGGCACCGCTCAAAGCCGCTCATCACCACTCCGCACCTCTGTGAGCCGCTCATCACCACTCGTCACAGCTCGTCACCACTCACCGGCACTCAGCACCACCAATGACCACACACAACAGCTCAGCGCTGCTCACTGCCACTCTGAATATCCGAGAGCCACTCACAGCCACTCGACACCGCTCCCAACCTAATCAGCGCTCATCACCGCGTGTCACCGCTCACGGGCACTCAGCACCACCAATGACCACACACAACAGAACAGCCCAGCACCCACCGCTCACTGCCGCTCTGAACCACTCTGCAGCACTTGGCACCGCTCAGATCCGCTCATCACCACTCGACACCTCTCTCTGTTGCTCATCACCACTAGTCACCGCTCATCACCACTCACGGGCGCTCAGCACCACCAATGACCGCACACAAAGGCCCAACACCTCTCACTGCCGTTCTGAACCGCGCTGCAGAACTCCGCACCGCTCGGAGCCGCTCATCACCACTCGGCACCTCTCTGAGAAGCTCGTCACTGTTCGTCACCGCTCGTCACCACTCACGGGCGCTCAGCACCACCAATGACCGCACACAATGGCCCAGCACCGCTCACTGCCGCTCTGTACCACTCTACAGCACTCGGCACGCCTCAGAGCCGCTCATCACCACTGGAAACCTCTCTTAGTCGCTCATCACCCCTCGTCACCGCTCGTCACCACTCACGGGCGCTCAGCACCACCATGACCGCACACAAAGGCCCAATACTTCTCATTGCCGCTCTGAACCTTGTTGCAGTACTCGGCACCGCTCAGAGCCGCTCATAACCACTCGGCACCTCTCTGAGTGGCTCATCACTTCTCGTCACCGCTCACGGGCGCTCAGCACCACCAATCATCGCACACAACGACCCATCACCACTCACTGCTGCTCTGAACTGCTCTGCAGCACTCGGCACCGCTCAGAGCAGCTCATCACCACTTGGCACCTCTCAGAGTGGCTCATCACTACTCCTCACCACCCACGGGCGCTCAGCACCAGCAATGACCGCACACAACGGCCCAGCACCGCTCACTGCTGCTCTGAACCGCTCTGCAGCACTCTGCACCACTCACAGCCGCTCATCACCACTCGGCACCGCTCAAAGCCGCTCATCACCACTCCGCACCTCTCTGAGCCGCTCATCACCACTCGTCACAGCTCGTCACCACTCACCGGCACTCAGCACCACCAATGACCACACACAACAGCTCAGCGCTGCTCACTGCCACTCTGAATATCCGAGAGCCACTCACAGCCACTCGACACCGCTCCCAACCTAATCAGCGCTCATCACCGCGTGTCACCGCTCACGGGCACTCAGCACCACCAATGACCGCACACAACGGACCAGCATTGCACTCAACCTCCTCCTCCTCCTCCTCCTCCTCATCCTCCTCCTCCTCCTCCTCCTCCTCCTCCTCCTCCTCCTCCTCCTCCTCCTCCTCCTCCTCCTCCTCCTCCTCCTCCTCCTCCTCCTCCCCCGCCTATACTCATGTTGGTGTTTCCTACCACTGCTGAGCATTTTCTGTTGCTGCTCGATGGTGACGCGGATGCTCACAACTGTCGCTTGCTGCTTGTGCTTGTGCTGGTGTTTCCTACTGCTGCTCATCATTTTCTGTTGCTGCTCGATGGTGCTGCGGATGCTCACAACTACCGTTTGCTGCTAGTGCTCGTGATGGTGTTTCCTACTGCTGCTGAGCATTTCCTGTTGCTGCTCGATGGTGATGCGGATGCTCACAACTACCGTTTGCTGCTTGTGCTCGTGATGGTGTTTCCTACTGCTGCTGAGCATTTCCTGTTGCTGCTCGATGGTGATGTGGATGCTCACAACTACCGTTTGCTGCTTGTGCTTGTGCGGGTGTGTCCTACTGCTGCTGAGCATTTTCTGTTGCTGCTCGATGGTGAGGCGAATGCTCACAACTACCGTTTGCTGCTTGTGCTCGTGATGGTGTTTCCTACTGCAGCTGAGCATTTCCTGTTGCTGCTCGATGGTGATGCGGATGCTCACAACTACCGTTTGCTGCTTGTGCTCATGATGATGTTTCCTACTGCTGCTGAGCGTTTCCTGTTGCTGCCCGATGGTGGTGTTGATGCTCACTACTACAGTTTGCTGCTTGTGCTTGTGCTGGTGTTTTCTACTGCTGCTGCGCATTTCCTGTTGCTGCTCGATGGTGAGGCGGATGCTCACAACTACCGTTTGCTGCTTGTGCTCGTGCTGGTGTCTCCTACTGCTGCCGATCATTTCTTGTTGCTGCTCAATGATGAGGCGGATGCTCGCTAGTACCGTTTGCTGCTTGTGCTCGTGCTGGTGTGTCCTACTTCTGCTGAGCATTTTCTGTTACTGCTCGATGGTGAGGCAGATGCTCACAACTACCATTTGCTGCTTGTGCTCGTGCTGGTGTATCATACTGCTGCTGAGCGTTTTCTCTTGCTGCTCGATGGTGAGGCGGATGCTCACTACCACAGTTTGCTGCTTGTGCTCGTGCTGGTGTGTCCTACTACTGATGAGCATTTTCTGTTGCTACTCGATGGTGAGGCGGATGCTCACAACCGCCGCTTGCTGCTTGTGCGCGTGATGGTGCTCCTGAGCATTTCCTGTTGCTGCTCGATGGTGAGGCGGAAGCTCACTACTACAGTTTGCTGCTTGTGCTCGTGTTGGTGATTCCTACTTCTGCTGAGCATTTTTTGTTGCTGCTCGATAGTGAGGCGGGTGCTCACAACTACCGTTTGCTGCTTGTGCTCGTGCTGATGTTTCCTACTACTGCTGAGCATTTCATGTTGCTGCTCGATGGTGAAGCGGATGCTCACAACTACAGTTTGTTGCTTGGCTCATGCTGGTGTTTCCTACTGCTGCTGCGCATTTCCTGTTGCTGCTCGATGGTGAGGCGGATGCTCACTACTACTGTTTGCTGCTTGTGCTCGTGCTGGTGTGTCCTACTTCTGCTTAGTATTTTCTGCTGCTGCTCGACGGTGAGGCGGATGCTCACAATTACCGTTTGCTGCTTGTGCTCGTGCTGGTGTGTCCTACTGCTGCAGAGCATTTCCTCTTGCTGCTCGATGGTGAGGAGGATGCTCACTACCACAGTTTGCTGCTTGTGCTCGTGCTGGTGTGTCCTACTTCTATTGAGCATTTCCTACTTACTGTTTGCTGCTTGTGCTTGTGTTCTCCTCCTCCTCCTCCTCCTCCTCCTCCTCCTCCTCCTCCTCCTCCTCCTCCTCCTCCTCCTCCTCCTCCTCCTCCTCCTCCTGTTCCTCCTCCTCCTCCTGTTCCTCCTCCTCCTCCTTTTCCTCCTCCTCCTCCTCCTCCTCCTCCTCCTCCTCCTCCTCCTCCTCCTCCTCCTCCTCCTCCTCCTCCTCCTCCTCTTGCTCCTCCTGCTCCTCCTCCTCCTCCTCCTCCTCCTCCTCCTCCTCCTCCTCCTCCTCCTCCTCCTCCTCCTCCTCCTCCTCCTCCTCCTCCTCTTGCTCCTCCTGCTCCTCCTGCTCCTCCTCCTCCTCCTCCTCCTCCTCCTCCTCCTCCTCCTCCTCCTCCTCCTCCTCCTCCTCCTCCTCCTCCTCCTCCTCCTCCTCCTCCTCCTCCTCGTCATCGTCCTCGTCCTCGTCCTCCACGTCCTCCTCGTCCTCGTCCTCATCCTCCTTGTCGTCCTCGTCGTCGCCCTCTTCTCGTCCGCCCCTGCTCCTCCTCCTCGTCGTCGTCGTCCTCCTCCTCCTCCTTGCCCTCCTCGTCGTCCTCGTCGTCGTATCGATTATCGTATTGATAATATTGACATGAATTACACATTTATTGCGTTTTTGTTTAGTATGCATCGTGTGATTTATACGTCCTCACGCATATTTGCTTGCGATTCCCGTTTACGCAACTTCTACTGCCATTATGTGTGTCCTTTGTTTATCTTCTCGTATGCCCATTTAACAATTCACATTCGAATACAAACATCTATTGATGCTAGTTGAGTAGCAAAAGAAATATATACACTATGTAAATTTGGATTCGTCGGAACCGCGCTGTATATTGGAACCAACCTCACCGTAATACTATCATTCTTGACCTGTTTCACCGCGCGATCCGTGCGCTGGACAAGGCTTTGAATTTTCATTGGTGGGTGTTTTTTTTTTCTTGACCTGTTCCACCACGACAAGCGCGCTGGAACAGGCTTTGAAACCCATTGGAGATGTGGGTGTATTTCTCTTTTGTTTTTTTTTTTTTTCCATTTCGGTTTGGGTTTGGATACCTTTCACACAACCTACAGTAAAATCGAAGAGATTTTACACTAGTAGGAGTGGTCAGAATACACCCTTTATGGTTCGATATGTTCCTACTTTTGTTTCTACTGCCCACAATGTTACAAAACATTGTGTGGGTGGGGTTGGGTAGCTACCCGTCCCATCCATCCCGCTGCTGCCTCAGCCCAAACCGTCTTCGGGTCTACTCGAACCTTCTTCCCTCATACCTACTATGCAGCTAGAATTACAGTCACAGCCACCTAATCCGCTGCTGTGTCATTCGCTAAGGTCCTAGTCGCGTGTTTGTTCGTGCGCCTCGCGGTCGTTAGATAGTCGTCGTCCTGCTCGCCTCGCGCTGCACCCTGCGCAGCGCTTTCGTTTAGCCGTCCCGCGCTTTTTCTCATTAGCGAATATCGCGTTTGATGTCCGTTTAGTTTGCAGCATGATGCGATGTCATGTCACACGGGTCGCTGCGCGGAGCGAACGCACGTGCGCGCGAGGTGGCTCGGTCGGACCTCACCGTCGAACGGTCGCGAAATTGTCGAGCAACGCACGTTTTTACGTTTCTAAGTCCCTCAAACAGGTCGAGAGACGACTGCAGAGACGAGTGCATAGACTGCGTTTCTTCTCTCACCACGGCCGCTCCTTCCTTGCCTCTCTCATTGTCATCGACCTCGTCCTAGTAGTCCTCGCCACCACCGATTACGCCCTGCTCGCTTCTATCGAACAGCAGCGCTGATCTCTCTTTCAAACTATCAGCACCTACTCGCTGTGTTAGAATGAAATCGATCTCCCACAGAATAGTTGGAATCAGAGGTGTTTCTTTCTCTGCTGCCAGACTGCGTTTCTTCTCACCTTGTTCGTTCCACCCTTGCTCGTTCCGCACTTGCTCGTTCCACCCTTGCTCGTTCCGCCCTTGCTCGTTCCCCACTTGCTCGTTCCACCCTTGCTCGTTCCGCACTTGCTCGTTCCACACTTGCTCGTTCCGCCCTTGCTCGTTCCCCACTTGCTCGTTCCGCCCTTGCTCGTTCCGCACTTGCTCGTTCCGCCCTTGCTCGTTCCGCACTTGCTCGTTCCACTTCCGTCATTCTGCCCTTGTTCGTTCCTCCGCCCTTTCTCCTCGTTCCGCCCTCCCCCTCGTTGCGCCCTTCCTCCTTGTTGCGCCCTTCCTCCTCGTTGCGCCCTTCCTCCTCGTTGCGCCCTTCCTCCTCGTTCCGCCCTCCTCCTCGTTCCGCCCTCCGCCAGCCCCTATGCTAAAACCTCTCCTTCCCTCCGTTCACCTCCTCTCCTCGGAAAGGTTGGGGCAGACTCGGCGCGCCCTGGGCAGATTTTTGAGGCACCTCAAAAAGGGTTGGGGCAGACTTGGAGCGCTCTGGGCAGACCTGTTGAGGCCAGTGAGGTGAGGCCCCTCGCGCTCGCTCCTATTGCTCCTCACTCACTCACGTGCTCTGCTCCCCTCCACTCACCTGTGCTGCACCCTAAACCTCTGCCATGGTTTCTAAACCATCCGCCATGCTGTCACACCTGCCATCCCTCCCCACCCCGCCTTGTGCAGAAAGGTCTTCTCTCCTTTCTGCGGGGCACCGTGAAGAGACCTTCTCACCCCGCCAAGACACGAGACATACTTACAAGTAGGATATTTATTAGGACATGCACCTTGCTCTTGTTTGTATGGTACTTGTGCGTGTGTCGATATAAGAGTTGCGGGGTGGGTTTGGGCTAGGCACGGGGTAGGTTTGGGCTAGCCTTGGCCCCTACAAGCCTGGTTACTGTTCCCGCTGCCCGGTTACAGTTCATGCCGCCCGTCACTGTTCATGCCGCCCGTCACTGTTCATGCCGCCCGTCACTGTTGATGCCGCCCGTCACTGGTCGTGCCGCCCGTCACTGGTCGTACCGCCCGTCACTGGTCGTGCCGCCCGTCACTGGTCGTGCCGCCCGTCACTGGTCGTGCCGCCCGTCACTGGTCGTGCCGCCCGTCACTGGTCGTGCCGCCCGTCACTGTTCGTGCCGCCCGTCACTGCTCGTGCCGCCCGTCACTGCTCGTGCCGCCCGTCTCTGCTCGTGCCGCCCGTCTCTGCTCGTGCCGCCCGTCACTGCTCGTGCCGCCCGGTCACTGCTCCTGCCGCCCGGTCACTGCTCCTGCCGCCCGTCACTGCTCCTGCCGCCCCGTTACTGTTCATGCCGCCCGATTACCATGCCATGCCATGTCCTCGTGCTCGTTTCCGCCCTTGCTCGTTTCTGCCCTTGCTCGTTTCTGCCGACAGTGACGGGCGCAGCTGGGCAACGGTGCGGCGAGGCTAAGGCGAAGCCAGTGAGGCACGAGGTGAGACAACGGTCCCCACTCTCCTGGCCCCCTTCTCCTATGCTCTCACTCTCCTGGCCCCCTTCTCCTATGCTCTCACTCTCCTGGCCCCCTTCTCCTATGCTCTCACTCTCCTGGCCCCCTTCTCCTATGCTCTCACTCTCCTGGCCCCCTTCTCCTATGCTCTCACTCTCCTGGCCCCCTTCTCCTATGCTCTCACTCTCCTGGCCCCCTTCTCCTATGCTCTCACTCTCCTGGCCCCTTTCTCCTATGCTCTCACTCTCCTGGCCCCCTTCTCCTATGCTCTTGCTCTGCACTCGTCGTTCCCTTGCTCTGCACTCGTCGTTCCCTTGCTCTGCACTCGTCGTTCCCTTGCTCTGCACTCGTTGTTCCCTTGCTCTGCACTCCTCCTCACCCCCCTGTTTTCCCATCCCCCACTGTTCATCCTATTGCTTCCCCATCCCGCACTGCTCACCCCACTGTTTCCCCATCCCGCACTGTTCACCCCACTGGTTCCCATCCTGCACTGTTCACTCTCCGCTCTGGTCTGGATGAGGCTCGGAGAGCCATGCTGTCACACCTGCCATCCTGCCACCCCTCCCCACCCCGCCTTGCGCAGGTGGCCTTCTCTCGCTGCAGGGCGCCGTGAAGAGACCTTCTCACCCCGCCAAGATAGAGGCACATCTACAAGTAGGATATTTACAAGGACATGCACCTTGCTCTTGTTTTGTACGGTACTTGTCTGTGCGTGTGTCGATATATAAGAGCTGCGGGGTGGGTTTGGGCAAGGCTAGGCACGGGGTGGGTTTGGCCTAGCCTTGGCGCCTGCAAGCCCGGTTACTGTTCATGCCGCCCGGCTGCTGTTTATGCCGCCCGGTTACTGTTCCTGTCGCCTGCTTACCGTTCCAGCCGCCCGGTTATCGCTCCAGCCGCCTGGTTACCACTTCACCAGCCTGGTAATCGCTCCAGCTGCCCGGTTAATGTTCCAGCCGCCCAGTTACTGCTATGGCCACCTGGTTACTGTTGCTGCCGCCCAGCTGCTGTTCGTGCCGTCTTGTTACTGTTCCAGCCACCTTCTGACAACATGAACAGGAACAGGAACATGAACAGGAACAGGAACCTGAACAGGAACAAGAACAAGACCAGGACCAGGAACCTGAACAGGAACAGGACCAGGACCAGGACCAGGAACAGGAACAAGACCAGGACCAAGACCAGAACCAGAACCAGGAACAAGACCAGGACCAGGACCAGAACCAGGACCATGCCATGCCATGCCTGGGATAGATGCCATGCCAGGGATTGGGGGTTGGGGGGGGGCTGTGGGGGGCTGTGAGGGGATTTGGAGGGGATTTGGGGGGTAGGGGGGCCTTAGGGGGGCCTTAGGGGGGCCTTAGGGGGGCCTTAGGGGGGCCTTAGGGGGGCCTTAGGGGGGCCTTAGGGGGGCCTTAGGGGGGCCTTAGGGGGGCCTTAGGGGGGCCTTAGGGGGGCCTTAGGGGGGCCTTAGGGGGGCCTTAGGGGGGCCTTAGGGGGGCCTTAGGGGGGCCTTAGGGGGGCCTTAGGGGGGCCTTAGGGGGGCCTTAGGGGGGCCTTAGGGGGGCCTTAGGGGGGCCTTAGGGGGGCCTTAGGGGGGCCTTAGGGGGGCATGGGGGGGTTTCATCTCCCCTCTCGCTATTGTCACTCTCTTTATTGTCCACGCTCTGCGTTATAGTACCCCTTGTTTGCTCTACGTATATCATACATGCAGTACAGTACTTGCAGGAAAACATGCAATCGGAGGCAGACAAACTGTTTGAACTCCGAGCGAGAGAGAAGAGGAGGCATATACACACAGATGATGAAAACATCCTGCAATCCCACCTTCCGAGCGGCAAGGATACACCGATACCTAGCAGCACGCTCTAGCACGGTGACATCCCCCAGTCCACCACAATAGAAGGGGTAGTAGACAGATGCTGGATGGGAGATGCAGTGGCATGGCGGATCAAGCTGCAGTGGCTGTGGCAAGTGCAGGAGCTGAGCAGAGTCCAAGCGTGGTAGACAGGTGCTCGACAGGAGACGACAAGGCAGATCAAGCTGCAGTGGCTGTGGCAAGTGCAGGAGCTGAGCAGAGTCCAAGCGTGGTAGACAGGTGCTCGACAGGAGACGACAAGGCAGATCAAGCTGCAGTGGCTGTGGCAAGTGCAGGAGCTGAGAAGAGTCCAAGCGTGGTAGACAGGTGCTCGACAGGAGACGACAAGGCAGATCAAGCTGCAGTGGCTGTGGCAAGAGCAGGAGCTGC